TCATGTACTGCTCTAGATGTGAACATGTACGTGCGCATTTGTGTGCACTGCCGGCACATGTATGATATCTTTGATATTGCCAATTCCAACATGGGCGGATGGACTTGATCATGTCGGAGGTGACTGTTTGGACGACAAGATCAGCTCAAGGAGTATGTTTCCTAACAATACCATTATGGGTAAGCCGCGCGGTACGGAAAATGACATGGACGGCAATGCTAGTCACAAATTCAGATCGATCAAGAATTCTCCGTGTACACATGCAAAGCCATGCATCTGGTTACCAAAGCACCTAGGATGTCAAGACGCGGGTGCACCATAGTGCTTCAAGCTCAACTCAAAATGAACGAAAGACGAGTACGTCATACCGTGAACCTACTTGGATGTGCCGTTCTGTACACATGGCTCTGACACTACCTCTCGTTGAAACTCTCCATTTGTACACTTGCAGCCAGCCTCACAGGGGTAAAATAACACCACGTACTTGAAATATCATCTGCATCGAGGATCCAAGATGGGCCCCAATAAGGTGTATTGACAATTTAGATCAACCGCATACACTTCCGATATAAGGAGTTTCGTACCTTTGTTAATTCGAGGGACCGGTGGGGACTGTGCTTGACGTGGATTTGGTTTTGGCAAGAGAACTTGTCAAAGGAACGTACGACAGAGGAGGTCAAGGAAGGAGCGAGGGATCGATAACGGGGAAGAAAGACCCATGAAGAACAAAGTCCAGGATATGAAGGGACACCTTAGCATTCGCTTCGACTGACTTGCACGTGTTAGCGCTCAGGGAGGACATAGAATCATTCATCATTCTTTCGACTTCGTGTCAAAAATCAGTTGCGGAGACGGGAGGGGAAAACGCATCCAAGCATTCCGCTAGGATCGCAATTATCTGAGGAGCCAAGAAACGGAACGGAGAGGAGACGTGAGAAGAACGAGGCACACAAACCTTCTTTGGGGCCCATCCAGATTGGGCTGAGGCGTCAAACGGCTGTACTATCTGTCAGGTGGCATTATGTTGACCATCCAGAGTAAGGGCTCAAAAATCTGGAGAAGGTAAGCAGCGCTAATCGAAGAAGGAAGCGCGAAAGGAGGACAACACTTAAATAACACCTCTCAACGTTGGATTGTGTGGGTGACCCAATTTTACCTCTTGCCTAAAGACCCGTAAAGACTTCTGGGGTACAACAGCAAATCATATACACCAAAATCGCGAAAAGATACACGGAAAGGGAGTCTTGTACTTGGATGTTGGGCAGGGGCGGGATTCGGCGCACTTCTTCCTGTAGAAGACTTCCGGGGCACAAGAGCTCTCAAGAATGCGAAAAAGGAAGGCGATAATGAAGCATGAAACACAACGATTTGAAGCGACTCCCAACAAGAGAGACAGAAAAGAGAGCGACTCCACCTAGATGTTGGGCTGGGGCGTAACCCGGATTCACTTCTTGCCTCGGCACATGTGAGACTTCTAGCATACGACATTTTTAAAAGGCAAAAAAAGGAAGGGGGCAGCTTAAGAAACGTCGAAAAAGGATACGAGCAAGACGAACCGAGCGTCACTCACCACCTGGGGCGTGACCCGGATGTACTTCTTGCCTCGGGACATGTAAAAGTTCTAGGACGCATCGAATTCAAAATGTAAGAAAAGGAAGGGAGCTCCTTAAAACACCTCGAAAACGAAACGAGCGTCTCTCACTTGATGTTCGGCTGGGGCGTGACCCGAATGTACTTGCTGGAGGACAATAACGTATAAATGTTGGGGCAAAACAGCAAATCGGAACTACAAATTGAAGGGACACGCAGCTCAGAAGAAGACGTTCTGGATACAGAATAAGAAGACTGAAAATGCTTCCCGCACCTAGATATTCGGCTGCGGCGTGACCCGGACGTACGTCTTACCTCGGGACCTGTAAACTTCTGGACGCAACAACTTCAAAATGAAAATGCAGAAGGAAGAAGGGGCAGCTCAACACCTTGGAACATGATACAAAAAAGACGAAACGAGCGTTTCTCACCTAGATGTTCGGCTGCGGCGTGACCCGGATGTACTTCTTGCCGGAGGGCACGTCAAAGGTGTCGTAGCCCTTGGGGAACTTCTCCTTGGCGGCCTCGTCGCTGATGGACGGCACGATGATCACCTTCTCGCCGTGGTGCCAGTTGACGGGGGTCGCCACGCTGTGCTTGGCCGTCAGCTGGAGCGAGTCCAGCACGCGTAGCACCTGAAGCGGGTTAACAGTAACTGTGAATCACGTTAAGACCAGGTCTGTCAAATGTTGATCGTAAGCTGGAAAGGGGTCGCACCGCTGTGCTTGGCCGTCAGCTGGAGCGTGCCAGCACGCGCAGTACCTGAAGAAGGGGGGTTAAGATAGTTTCGAATCAGGTTAGGGTCCGTTTGTTGCTTGACCGTCAGCAGAAAAGAGGCCAGGAAATCAGGTTACTGCTGGTGACAGAGGTGTGCTTGGCCATCAGCTGCAGCGAGTCCACCACGCGCAGCACGTGGAGAGGCGAGTAAAAGTCTCATTTGAGGTAGGGTTATGTTACGGCTTAAGGTTGCATTCAGATGAAAGAGCACAATAAAAAGCCGGGCTGTGCTTAAAAGGCAGCTGAGATGAATCCAGCACGTGCAGCAATTGGCGAAATAAGGTTGGTTTAGGTGAAGGTCGAGAATCCACATGAAGCGGAAGTCAAACGTGAGCATTCTACAAGAAGCCCTAATAATATTAATAGTAATGACAACATAAGGGAGCGATCAGCGCATATATGAAGACTACCACCTTGTAGACTCAGGGTGAAAAGCACGGTAGTCCTGTCAGTACTGGGATAATTTTCTAGTAAGGCCAGATTTTACGTCAGAAGCCTTTTGACAACGATTTCTGATTTCCTGAGTAGAGTCAATGACAAGCATGTTCCTAGAGGCTACAGGATCGCAACACTTCGACTGAAGACTTTTGAGTCTTGATAAATCTTTTCGCGCTGGGGTCACTGGTGCAATCCAAGGCCAGTCACCCGTAATCGACGGAGAACCTTAACTTAGAGTTAGTAAGTCAAACAAATTGACTTTGCAGGTCACGCAATCAGATGATGCTGGCTTAGGGCGCCACGATTGCCATGCAGACTTATTTAGGGTCAACAATCTCTTTGAGAAGTCTACCGTTGTCGACAAAAGCACCGTACCTCCTCAAAGTTGCGACCTGTAGTTGCGGGGTACAGGATGGACAGCTTGAGCTTCTTGTCCGGCCCAATGATCCACACGGCACGTGCATTGGCTGGGAGGCCCTTGCTGCAAAAGAACCACGTGGCTCGGTTTCAAGTCGCTCCGTTCACCCTCCTCAAGTACTCAAGAAACCGGGATTCTAGCGAACCAAGAAGCTTCCGGGCCGGACTGGTTGGTCTCGTTGGACACTGCTTGGCGTCTCAAGTGAACAAACCAGTCAAACGAGACTTTGACTAAACGAATAATCCTAAGGACGAAGTCTTCTCAATCTTTGGAGAAAGCGAGTAGAGACTTGGCAAAATATCCTTACAAGGCACGACCTCAACGAATCTGCAATTAGTCAGCGAGGGCGATCAAGTTCAGCACATATAGAAGCTTGATGAGATTGTAGCGTTCCAGTACTTCAGAAAAGTCAGATCTCCCATCAGGCAAAGCACAGCTGAACATTGTTCGAATGCATAAGAAGCACGTATGGAAAGCTTAAGAAACATTGTAGGACTACAATGACTTGCCCTTTCAGATGTCTCGTCATTCACAAGCAGAGCTGATACATCGTTCCGTGGCTAAATGGCCCAAATGCCCAAGGAATGACCACAAGACTTGCGTGCAAGCTCCGAAAACAAGGTCCACGTTGTCTATTCGAAAATGCAACTTCAAGCAGTCTGGACCACAAAACAAAGCCGAGCATTCCGGGGAGAAACGCCGGGAGACTTACGCATCCTTCTCGTCAGGGTCTAGGCTCCCCAGCTTGACGGCGAGCTCCTTCTCCGGGTCCGCAATGATGGGGTACCCAACCTTGACACCCGGAGTGTAGGTCTCAATGTCGGGAATCCAACCCTTGTGGGACTCGACGTCGTTGTGGCTAATGGCGGCCAACTTCACACCGCGCTTCTCAAACTCTGGATAGAAAGCGAATGCAGAGAGATGAACGGGGAGTTTTCAGGACTTTTGAGTAGAATTGACCAGCATCTGTGGAGTTCCTGCTCAGAAAAGAATACCGGAGACCCCTTTTTCTTGGTCAGGAATAAAATTCTTCTTGCTCCTCAGGCGATATATCAAGACAAGGTTGGATCAAATTCAAAGTTTGGAGGTTTACTATCTTCAAGCCACAGATTCCAACTCGCCAGTGTTGATCTGCTATAATGCGACACATCAGCAGGAGCTTTTACCAAAGTACTAAATAATTAACAACGCTGCTGTGGAATCATGTGCTGAGCCAATGGACGCTTTGCATACTGTAGCAATTCTGAGCACAGACAAAAAGTCACATACAACTGTATTGACTTCTTCAAAATGAAATTCACAAAAGAACTGCAATAAACGAGGGGAGGGTGTCGCCATTTTCTTGTGGCTCTCAGAGGCTGGTATGCAAGTTTGCTCACCTGGCAAGTACTTGGCAACAGCCCCAAGCTCCGTGGTGCAAACTGCAGACGACAGCAGGTTTAGCAACTTTTAAAAGATAGTCTGGTAGAGAACCTGATTGCAGAAGGTTGTCTTGGTTACAATGATCAAAGTCATGAAGCAAATTCAGTTTGGTTAAGCTTAGCTTTTGTTTCTTTAAACTTGAGCATATAAATGTGACGAGACCCTCTGATTCTGAATAAGAGTGGAAAGCCTGTCAATATTCTCACTGCAACAAACATCCTGCTGTTTTCCCCCATCACCCTTTTGTGTCATCCTTCTCTAGCTTCGTCCCGCAGGCTCCAGCAAGATATGCTTAAAGTACTAGGATTTTCCTCGCCATCCAAGATATGGATACAAAGATGCTGTATGAACAAATGGCTCGTCTCCTCCGCTACGAAAAGAGATACGTAACAGAACCGATCAGAAAAAGCAACGCCGCAGGCTTCACAACATAAGTACGATGGAAGAGTCATGCTACTCTAGATGCATTATGTCCAGGGACTATGGGGCACTCATGTGTGAGGCATGGCCAGTTGGCTCTGACTTTTGAGTTGTGGTGACAGTGCTGAATTGATAGGTTCTTGAAGTGATTGCGATGATAGCTGACCTGGGGTGAAGTCGGCAGGGTGTGAAAACTGCACATCAGAGGGTTCATACATCATTACAGGAGCGTCCAGATGAAACACAAGAAGAAAGATACAAAACGCAAGGGATTTAGAGTCTCATATACGTACCAAAATACGAACCAATGCATGTCAGACACGCCACCATGTTTTTTTGCCATCAGAATTGAAAGCGTCCAAGGAAGTTCTGGGTCATCGGACCCCGGCACTTAGTTGACAAGCCCTGCTCCACTTAAGCTCAGCAGGGGGAAGAATGCAGCACATGAACACGATAAAGCCAATAGAAAATGGAGCATGGCCGCTGAGCATTTTGCTCCAGATTGGAGTGGGGTTTCTTCTACTCAGTATGTGCAGCTGTCTCCTGGCTGTTTCTATCACCACTGTGTGAAAAAAACACTCTCGCTCTGGGTTTATTCTACTCATTATTCAGCTGAAACGGTATCTTCCAAAAGAAGCTGCTATTTTTAGGTGTTCTAAGAAGTGCATGAATTTCAAATCCACATGAAACCACCTTCAGTGCAATTGCAACTCAATTTGGTCCTGCAAACTCAACTGGTGACCAGAAAAAAATGCACAACTTACCAAGATTGCCCATGACCCGTCAATGAACTCATGCCAATGGATTTGTCCTTGAGACGAGTCAGCAGTGAAATCAGGGAACGTGTCTCCCAGCTTGAGACCCATATTCCTTGATCTCAGAGAACGTCGACAGAAGGTTTCTCTTCAAAGGAGGGCGCCTTCGGTTAAACTTAAAGTTGCAATTGCAGAATCTGAAAAGTACCTACCGAGCTTCTGGAAAACGACGCAGAGCGAGCATACACTGATACAGGCCAGGGCCATACCGCACTGCGGCCTCTATGCGCAACGGGTTAAAAGCTTATGTTTAAACCGTGACCCATTCTTAAAGCCTTCCTCCGTTTGCGTTAACCCAATTGACCTGAGGGCTCCTCCGTAGCTATCGCATGAGCGGTCAAACACAATAGGTTACCTGCTAACCGTCAAGGCCTTGAACCTATCCTAGATTCATGTACCTGACGGCTAGATCTCAACCGTCCGAGAGCTTGTTGACATCATCATCCACGGTCCTTCTTGGCCTAGTACTGTTCTATTGAAACCGTGGGATAAAGATTCTCAGAACTTGTAGAAAACGGACGGCTTGCGTGAAGGCATAGCGTCAACGAGCGTGATTCGTCAGCTCGGCCGGCCAACGTGCATTGCGTGGGTTCTGATTTCTGCGAAGCCCTTGATCAGTCTATTAGTATTACTCTGACCATGCGACGCAACGACACCCGAGTACCTTGCTACAAGGAAACTCTGCAGGACTTGTCGACACATTCCATGAAGGCTCGTTGAAACTTTGTTGCCAGCAGTGAGCACCCTGGAAACCGTTTGCAGATCCTCTGGCGGCAGAGTTTCACCCGCGCCTAAGCTTCCCACCGTGCCACGTGCAGCCCACCAATTGGTTCGGACTCGGAAGCGTCACAAAAAGCTCGTGCTTAGCAAAAGCGTAGGGCGGTATGGGCCCTAAGAAACGCACTGATTTGATTAAAGAACAGAGGGTTGCAGTCCTGTGCCAGCCCGTTGACGATCTGTTGACCTTGCAGATTAGCTAAAAAGACGTCGATTCTGAATGAAAGCCAGCAGAGGATGTTCCTCAAAGCCACTGGTCAAGCTCCAATCTGCGACGGCGCCAGCTTGTGTGACCAATTGTGCTTTCGGTTGGGTTTCTACGCAATGAGGTGTAAAAGCTGCAAGGAGGAAGCATGCATTGCCTTGCAAGACAAGCGGTAGGGACACCATCGATCAGAGCCACTCTTGCGTTGCAAACGGTCCAAGCTCGAAAGCCATGCGCTTTCGACGGGGCGCACAAACTAAACGAGAAACCCTTCTTGCAGCCCGAGTGGAGACCCAGACCTCACTTGACCCTTTGTTTCCGGAAGCAAAAACATGGAAGGGTTGAACGCAGATCAAAGCTGCAATGGACAGGCAGCATCCGGTTTAGTCAATTTGCAGAGGGTACACACAATGCAGGCACTCAGGAGCCTTCATCAGCTGCAGACCTTGTCAGCGAGCTCCTCAAGCTGAGTCAGCAAATCAAAGTTTGCCTCTGGTGTCCCCTGTGCGGCTCAGCCTCCCGCATTGCTGCGCAGATCCTTGCCTGGGAAAAGGATCTCACGCCGTCCGTCGAGAACCCCACCAGGGCAGAAGTAGGTGGACGAACAACAGCAGAGGGACATCCAACAGCTGAAAGGCGTTCAAAAGAGAATGGCCACTCAACAGGCAGTGGGAGTCCCAGACTGGAAAAGCGTCAGAACTTCTGGGGCCGTCCATTAGTTGCGATTGCCCTGGCATTGACTCTTGCGTTGCACCTCTCAACCTGCTCGCCATCACACGCCCACTCCCCAGTCCAGGAAGCCCCCTGTCTGGTTGCACCCTCTCCTAAGAGAACACCAGCCGCCTCCTCAGCCACAAAATTAGACACCGCTGATGTCATTTGTCCGGAAGCTGAGGTCAACCACTTGAAGTCTGATGACAAAGCTGGGGGACTTGGGTGGGGTGTGTTTGAATCTGCGGTGCGTCAGCAAGCATCAGGGGGAGTTGCGGCACCAGCCGGCGCAGAGGATAGCTCTGTGTTGCCAGAGGACTGCCCTCAAACTGTGGATTCGGGGCATTCGTACCACACAAGCGCACCGCAACACGCTTCTTCCAGCGCAAGTTCTGCGTTGAACCAAGCTGCAAGCTCGCCCAGAAACCCTTCAGATCCTCCAAACCCTGCGGGATGGGCGAGTCTCAGCGCTCTCTCGCACACCCCCCATGTTCCGCAGCTGAAACTGCCCCCCTGGTTGACAGAGGCGCGCTTGCAGCAGTTTTTCGCGGAGACGGGGGAAGCATGGGGTAGAATGAATCTCACAATCAGCAGGAGCACAATCCATGCAATCGCCAGGGGGTGGTGGTTTGGCCTACCCCAGAACATTGAGATCTCTGAGCAGGTGAGGATTTCGTTTCCAGAGACATTGCTTTGAAGAGAGTCCCAGCAGAACACCTGTGTGACTGTGTCCAAGTTGTAGAGCACGGTGGTTGCTTGAAAATCTTCAGTGTCCATTCTTTCCTTCTTTCAGGTAAAGATCGAACCAAGGTACTTCACGAGCAACCGAGGTTCTTGTTTGAATCACGCTTGCCTTGAGGAGATATTTTGATACGCCGCAAACAACGCAATCCGGATCTGACGCATCGATGTGACGCCAAACACCACCAGGCCAGTCGTTCACAGCAAAGCAATGTTTCTCGAATGCAAGCGATGTGATTAGGCTAATATTTCCCCTCTTCCAAATAGTTGTCGCAGGTCATTATGTGAGGCCGTCGAGCGGGCGGACTCGATCTGTCTGAAGGACTGAGCATTTTTTGCTTTGGAAAAGCAGAAAGGGAAGAGAGGGCCTGAGCAGCAGTGCGCAATGTTCAGGGTGCGCACTTTCGTCTTCGGAGGACCTGAAGCTGACTGACTGGGGTTCGCCAACATTTTTAACGGCACGAGAAACGGGTTTAGCTAATAAAGCGCTTCTTCTTTCCAAACACAGGCGTACGAGGTTGGCACGGGCGAGAGCCTTGGCAGCGTTGCGGGTTTCCTAGGCGTCCCCCTAGAGGACCTCAAGGCGACTAACCCGGGGGTTAGCAACCCGCTCCGCCCGGGTCAAAGCCTGCACATTCCGGCGAACCGGCAGCTTGGATTGGGAGAGAACCGGAAGTGGCGGAAACGGAAACGGAAACCCGGAAAAGGGCTGCTGGCGCTCAGTCACAGCGTGCCGCAGCCGGTGCGGGTGGCGCTGGTGTTCCTAACCGAGAAATGGGACCGGGTAAGTATAAACCGGACTGGATAGATGCGCATGTTAAGCAAAGCACAGAGTATCTTTGAACGCGCTGAGACAAATTATACACCTCCATAGTATGTGCTTCTCTCCCAGAAGAGGACGTAAGCGGTTCCTGCTTTGCTGAGTTGTCTTGATCCCCAATATACAGAGAAGCTCTATTGTAATCAGATGCAACACCTGATGATGTAGTCGCCTCCTTTGCTCAGTTGGTACCCGGAATTGAACTGCTTTCCGCGACTTCGATTAGTATCCGCTGATCTCGCGCTGTGTTCCCCAAGCCTAGCTCACTACTTTTCAGTTGGACCCTTCGCAAATTACATCATCTTGTAAGCACCAGTCTGTGAGGAGCTTCGAAGCGGGTCCGAAGAGCTAATATTCGACAGAAGAACGGTGCAATTCTGTTAGCGAAAGAACGAGCTGATCAGAACAAGCGCTCCTGCAGTTGGCGTACCAGTGCCAGCTGGCGCTCGAGTGGCACCCGGCGAGCCACGTCATCATCTGCGTGGCAGGCATGGTTGCGATCGTGTTGGGCGGTGCGGTGTTCTACCGGCTGAGTACACAAATGGGATGGACTGAGGCCGTCTTCAAGGCGTGGATGTATGTTTACAATTCGCCTGGTGAGCTCCATGCCAAGCTGCCTCATACTTCAAATGATTCGCGCTTGCTCTCTTCTAAGTTCCGTCTACATCAACGATCGAGGGCTTTCAATCTGGTTTAGGGCGCTCGTCGTGAACACAGTCTCCGACGAAGCGGATCCGTTACACAAGCAGAGCCATTAGGAAGATATCGAGCACAACAGCAGAATAACCAGGAGCATAAGGACCCAAATCAGAGGGCCTTCCGTGACGGGATCAGAGGGCCTTTCCTGACTGAAGGGATGGAAGGAAAACGCGGACTGCAGTTTGCAGTCCCGAACCCCCACGCCGCGTGATACTCTGTGCGCGAGCAAACGTGGTCTGGTAACGTCACCGTCGGCGAGGTTTCACATGCCGTGCTCCGGACATGTTGGCTTGACTTTCGCCGTCGGCTGCAAAACGTCGGACCGCCGTTAACTCAAACTCGACGTTCCCGGTCGCGCGCCACTTGAAAGTTGAGTATCAAGCGGTGTGGGGGTCTGGGAAGACTGCGATTCTCAATGCATGTTCTCCTTCCATCACCTCTGACTGTCCCTGGCACTTTCTCCTCCCAACTTATCCCCTTAGCCATTCTCGATTCTTGGGAATGCATTCTACATCACCGTTCTGAGTGACTTCTGCAATTTCTGCCGTACTCAAGTAACTCGTCTCAATCTTCCTCTTTGTGCAGGCGCTGACTTGCACCACGTGAAAGGCAGCGCCCGCCTGTTCGGCAGCATGCTGTTCATGGTCGTGCAGCACATCCGTCCGCTCCTTCTCTGGCGACACGCTCTCTTAAGTCTGTATGTTTTGAACACTTTCCGGAACACAATCTGACAGATTTGAGATCACTTCATCGTCGCAGGCGCTGATCTGCACCACGTGAAAGGGAGCGCCCGCCTGTTCGGCAGCATGCTTTTCATGGTCGGCCTGCTCGCGTCCGCCTTCTTCATCTCCGTCTTCACCGAGAGCATGCTCAACCAGGTGGACGTGCTTCGGAGCGGGAAAAGCCGGGTCGTGGAAAGCGGGCACGTGCTGGTAAGTATCTAACGCCCGGCTTGACCCTCCGTTACGCCTGGATGATGCGCCTGGTAGAAAGGTTCAATTCTTCGACGAGAATGCTCAACGAGACCATGCTCAACCGGATCCACGTGCGGCGGAGCTGGAAAAGCCAAGTAGTGGAAACCGGGCTCGTGCTGGTGAGTCCGATTGCCTGGATGATGCGCCCGGTAGTACGGTTATACGGTTAGCTCAGAACTTCACTATCGGAACAGCTTGGTGAATGAGAGCATGCTCAAAGGTGGACGACTTGCGTAGCGGCAAGAGCCGGGCCGTGGGCACGTGCTGGTGAGCTCACAGACCGGCACAAGCGCCTGGAAAATCGAGCGGTACTGCGAGTGACACAGAGAATGATCCCCGCAAAGGGTGTGTGGTTGTGCTTCGCAGCTGCAAGAGGAAGGATCCGGGCATGTGTTGGTGTATCGAAGTGCCCGGTCGTAACAGCCGGCAAAATCAGCCGGTGATGCCTTCTTGTGTGCTGAGGCTGAAACTACTGAAGCGGATTGTACTCTCAGGGCCCTATTCATTCCGCTCGAATACTCAGCTAGAACAACGCGCCGCTCCGCGTTTCATCTTCGCGCAATGCCGTAGCCCACGCAACCATTTATACATTTCATCATGGACGAAATTTTGCAGTCCGATAGAAGCTGTACCCATTCCGTTTAGGTTCTCGGCTGGAAGAACGCGACCGTTCCGCTGCTCCGCGAGCTGGCCGCCGCCGGAACGCCACCATCAGATCGATCAGCATTGAATTTGAAGCTGCGACTTGCAATCAGCTCTTGATTCAAACGCCCGTTAATTCGTTCCGTTCAGGTTCTTGGCTGGAACAACGCAACCGTTCCGCTCATCCGCGAGCTCGCCGCCGCCGGAAACAATCACGGCCCGGCGTCCCAGAGCAAGATCGGCGGACACCGGACTGTGGTCGTGCTGGCGGAAAAGGAAAAGGACGAGATGGAAGCGGAGATCGCGCGCGCTATCTCGAAAGAGGAGCTGAAGCGCACGCGCGTGGTGTGCCGTGTTGGGGACCCGAGCGATCGGTATGCGCAGGTGAGGTCATAGCCCCTTTCGCTGACGTCACCTCTTGGCGTCACCTTGAAAGCTGTCCTTCTTAGACAAGTCCGATCTGGACCGATCGCCCATGAGATCGCTGCATAAGAATCATCACACAGTTCGAGTTCGGTTTTGAACGGCGATTAAAGTCGTGTCGAAAAACAAAGCTTGACGTTTGAAGCCGCCGTAGAAGGAGTAGAGTGGGAGCCGAGCAATTGGTCCAGACGGCGCTCCACACGGGGACGTGTGTTATGCCGGTCAAGGAAGCGACCATGCGCTAGTCTTCTCACGGGTACATTTCGTTGAATAGTGACGGAGTAGTGCTTCAAAAACTAAATCGAACCCGCAACGAAGACACTCGAACCGCAGTTGATCGTCTAAAACGGGAGCGCAGGCGGGGTGTTGACTAGAGAGAGGTTGCACTTTTGCCGCAATCATGGGCTTACTCTTGAATGCAAGCGGTCGAACTTGCAGGAAGTTACCACTTGCGTGAAATGGTCGTCATTGGAAGCCGCGTTCCGTTCACGAAGACCACTGCTCCAATTTACGCTTTTGGTCCATCCGTATGAAAATGGTTAGTGTGCTGGCTCAAAATGCGCGTTTCGTGCGCGCACACTTGTGGTTGGCGGCTGAGCGCGCGCGTTCCGTTGTGGTGCTGCCGGAAAGGCGAGGAAGCAATCGTTGAATCGAGGCGCATTCAAAAAAACCTTGTTCCTGCGCGCCTACAGTTGTGGGTGGCGGCTGAGCGCGCGCGTTCCGTCGTGGTGCTGGCGGAAGACGACGAGGAACCGGAAATGGCGGACACCAAGGCGCTGCGCGTCGTGCTCGCGACCAAGGGAAGCGTCGCCAAGCAAATGCGCGCGCGCTCGCGCCAAAAGCTGGCCGAGAGCCTGGTAACAGATTTCAAGCTTGTACCTCATCGATGAATCGAGCTGACGTTAAAACAAATTATTCAAACGAGGACGTCATGAGAAAATATTGGGGGCCGCTTTGCCGGACAGGCATGCGAGCGGTCGCCCCGATGCAGGCGGAGGCAGGTTAAAAACCTAGGTCACGAGTATAAAGTCCGGCTCGAAAGAAATATTAGGGTCATCTCAGGTTACTCAGACATGCGAATCCCTCCAAAGATCGAGTCCCTCAAAGCAACAAATTTTCAGCATAGCATCCGTGTTACCAAACATTACTTGGACCGGAGGAAAAAGGCCGTAATGACGAGCACTTCTCGCTGGACTAGCGGGCAAAGAGCTTGCATGTGACCGATCAACGGCCAAACTCTTTTTGGAAAAGAAGGATATCAGATCTGCAGGAAAAACGTGCAGCCCCTCGGAATTGGATTGGCAATATTTATCTAGTTGAGTATAATCAAGTTCGGAGTGTGAGAAGAGGTCCCGGTTGTCGTACAGAAGCTTCCGCTTGCAGTTTGGCGCTTCTTAATTGTCTAGAGGACGTTCGTCGGAACCTGTGCCGGGATGACATGATATTAGGAGTGCATTTTCTTCTGCGAAGCAGGTTGTTTCACGGCTTGCGAGGTCAGAGGACTGCCAAGCTGGAAGTCCAGGCAACGTTCTTGGAACACCAAAATGGTAGCTGGAAGTCCAGGCAACGTTCTTGGAACACCAAAATGATCAGACTGGATATTAATTGAATGACAGACCCACTGAAGTTGATCTGACGTCATGAAAACCATATTACCAGCAGTCGGAGGCGCGCCTGGCGAGCCCGAGCGGCCGCGACGCCAAGAGCGCGCGCCACATCGACAGCCGCGCGACCGTGGAACTAGAGGAGGGAGTCGAGCCGACGCTGCCCATGGTGGTGCAGGCGCAGACCGCGCGCGGGCACCACCTGGTGAAGCTCGCGGGGGGGGACCAGGTAAGCCAAACTTTGTTAGTTATACCCCCCCATTCCAAGGACGTTGTAATTGAAAGGAAGCCCGGTGCTGCTACTTTCTTAGAGACGCAAAGGCATGCGGGCGCGACCTTAAAGCTTGCGGGGGAGGCCAGAAGGTGAGGATACCTGCGAGGTTCGTCCCGCACTTTCGAAGGATTTGGCCCTCCATCTGTAATCTGTGTAAAGGAACTAGAGAGGAGCGTCGCGAGCGGAGTCCTGCCCTTATTGGGGCAGGCGCAGACCTCGTCAAGCTCGCGGGGAGTTACCAGATGTGCGAGGGGCCTTGTTTTGACAGTCCTTAGTGTAAGTGTTTGGGGCATCCTTGCCAGTGGCATGGCTCAGAAACATGGCAGAGAGCGGCCATAGTGCATGAAACGCTAGGGCTTCTTCCGAAAGTTTAATGTTTCTCTCGACCTTTTGAACAGGACCTCTAGCCTGCGAGTCGTCAGCCCCTGATATCGAGCACCTCAATGGATCGAGGTTCGCATTCCAAATCTGCACCCACTATAGCCCCTATCTAACCCAATCCGTCCCAGTTCCTTCCCCTTATTGTCCACTGCATTGAGCTGAGTGACTATATTGGCTTGTAATCTGGACTGCGCCATCAGTAATGAGTTTCGTTGCCACGTGTCAGGTCACGACGGTGGACACGCGCAAGCTGGTGGGGCGGCATCTGGTGCAGTGCGCGGTGCAGATGCGCGGGCTGGCCGCGGTCATGCGCAGGCTGCAGAGCTTCGACGACGAGGAGTTTTACATCAAGTGAGTCTCAACGGAAGCGAAACTTATATCGCATCAAGTGAGTTCCAAAGAGGGGGAAGCTTACATCAAAGTGAGTGTCAAAAAGGAGGAAAAGAGGAGTAATCTCCTCTTTGCATGCGCTGCAAGTACTGCGAATGCGCATTTGTGCAAGAAAGTGGATGGAGGAATCTGCCAGTCCTTGGGTTCTAATTTGTTTGAGACATGCCGCGTGTTTGCCCAGGGTAAAGATAGATCCCAAAGACGGCGTATTAGGAAAGCACGTTCAGATGTAGACCAGCTCAGAAAGCAGTTTCGATACAGCGTTACATCACTCAACGGGCGAGGAGCTATCTGCTCTTCTGGTTCTCGAAATAGATACTCTTCTCTTCCGTTGAAAGACTTGTGTAATTGCCATTCATCCTTTCTCCGGCGGGCGTCAAAAACGCTCCTCTTACAACCTGCTCGGTCTTTTGAGAGCCCATCATGAGGACATTCCCGGGCCACGTTTGCCGACGTCAGCGCCGCGTCATCGCAGGCAGTGGCCGAGCCTGACGGGGCGCACGTTCGAAGAGGTCTGCCGGTCGTTCGTGGGCGCGGTCCCGGTGGGCGTCGTGGACGGGGACAAGCAGCTGGTGAGAGATCCCCCTGGCTTCAAAGCAGATTTCCAATTTGAAGTATCTGAAGATTGAAAACATTGAGCAACTCTGTGGTCTTTGTTTCAAAGAGGTCTGCCAGTAAACTGTGGTGCGGTCCCGTGGAAGTCGTCTGCAGCTGGTGAGGGCGTCCCTCCTCTTGAAAATACTTCTTCACTTTTAGAAAAGTACCTTTAGGAGTAACATCGTCGACTGGTTTGAGATTTTGTTTCCTCGGATGCATTTCAAGCAATTTTAAGACAGGAAGAACTTCCTGTTATCTCTTTAAAACCTGAGCCCAGGAGGGGACGCACGGACGAGTACCTAAAGCGTATCGATCCTCAAAGTGGTCGATCGGTGCCGGTAAAGAACGCGGCAACTCTGCCCAGCATCCGCTGTGAGGATGTGACTCGATTCTTCGGCGATCGGAGTGTTTTGAATGTAAGACCTAGCAAGAGTTAAGGACTACGTAGTCCATGAAAAGCTCTCTGATTCAAGGCATATCCCCGGCAACAAATGAGCAACCAATGTCTCCAAAACTTTTTACATCTCGGCAAACTCCCAAAACCTCCTTCGCAGCTCCTGTTGCCGCCTTTCGACCGCGTGATGCGCAAGTCGGACTACGTCGTCGTGGTTGCGGACGGCAAGGACGGGTACCGTCCGTTGTCCGCCCCAATCCGGCGGATCAACACCGCGCTACCCAAGTGGACGGAACCACCAAACGTGCCCGGGAAGTACCTCATCGTGGGCTGGGGGCCCACCCTGGTAAGCGACCGGCTACTGCCTCTGCGCTTTCGTTTATTGTTTTGCCACACCTTATATGATTCTCGACACTGCATAATACGGGTTCCTGGATCCTGTTCTTCAGTTAAGAAATTTTTGAAAGCCCTTTAGGGCGCTTCTACTCTCCTCGCAAGTCGTCACAACGCTACGAGCACGGACAACTCCACCGCGGAGAAGAATGCTTACGTCAGATATGATGACTTGCGTGCTAAGAGAGGGAAATCTATGAGGCATATAAAAGGGAGGTCAGACCTTGCCCATTTTTGCATCTTTGCAAGCTTGGGAAGGCACTACCAAACAAACAACAGTGCACGAATAGAGCAGAACAGCCGTAGCTCGCAGCTTAACCGCAATTGACAAAATCATGGCGGATTGACTAACCTGGTAGATCTCGGCAGCAACTTGAACGTGCTGATTACAGCTGCGTATCAAAACGCTGCAAAACAATCCTTCTCGCAAACTCTTTGCAGACGCCACGCAGAGAAGCTTAGTCATTCAATCACAGCTGACTGACTGATGTACAATCGGGGTTATCTTTCAGGTCGACATGATAACCGAGATGGATAACCTGGTGAACCCGGGGAGCGACCTGTTGATTGCCGCTGCGCTTCCGGAGGCCGAGATGCAGCGCCGGCTCTACGCTGGGGGGATCATGACGTCACCGTGCGTGCGGAAAGGCTGCTTCGCGTGCAAAGGTGAGCTGAGGGCCGGTCCGCTTCATGATTGACATTATCTTGAAAATCAAATATGTTAAGAGGCTTCTTGCTGAGTCCGTTACCCGCAATTTGAGACGCAGGCAATCTGTGAAGGAACCTGCTCTCTTATTGCTGCCGGAGGTGGAAGCGGAGAAGTCCGTTTAGTTTATGCAGACTCGCTCGATTCTCATTGTGTATGAGAGTCGCGTCTGAAACGTTCACTCGATCTTTCGTCGTTTGACCTTGCACTCAACTGCTTGGAGCGCTTTAGCGAGGACGGAGTCAGCGGGCCTTCTCTCGCCACCAGAAGGTTGAAGCAAAGCGATTTTTGATCGTCAGACTGAAGTTCGTTTCGTCTTTTCGACGCTAATCCTATGCGCTACCTTGTCTTAAAACACATGTTTAACCTTAGACTTCAGTCTTAAATGGATCAGCACACAGTAAAGGTTTCGAGGCGACCCTAAATCTGCAGAAACATTCAAAGTGTCGTCTCACATGGGAAAGATGGGAAGCAACTTGGGAAGACAATAACAGGTGAATGATTACTTTTCAGTTCGGAAATAAGCCAGACGAAGGATGCGGACACGTGTCCTGCAGGCAACGATCACGGCAGCCCCGTGGCGTGCCTGTCGCAGCTATCGGTGCACCTTCACACCACCCTACCGCCCGGCCAGGAGGAGAGTGTGAATAGCCCCGCCGATGCAGAGAGTTCGAGCGGAGATCTAGAGTCCTTGGGCCCACTCGCGAGCTCGACCCAATTTGAAGCCGTCATTTTGCTGGCCGCAAAATATGCGCCGGACGGTACTTTAGACGCGTACGGAAGGTGAGGGGCGACCAGGGTTCGTGTTCGTATCACTTTCAGGTCGCCTTTGTTGGACCTTAATACCAGGTTGACAGATTCCGTTCAAAGCGTCTCGTTTTACGGGTGGAGAAATGTGCGCTGGACGGCACTTTTGGACGCGTAAGGAAGGTGAGGGGCGACCAGGAACCGTGTTTCTATTGCTGTCAGGTCGCCTTTCGTGTGACCCCTTGTCACGAATGACGCAGTTCGAGACCCGTCATTCTGCTGGCGGCCTGATATGCGCCGGACGGCACTTTTGACGCGTACGGAAGATGAGGGGCGCTCTTCCCAGGTCGCTTTGTATCTTCAGGGATTGCGGTAGATTGTTCGTATAAACGTGTGAAGCCGTCATTTGGGTGGCTGCAAAACGTCCGCGGAATAAGTTGGGAGCGGTGCGCTGCGAAAGGGTTGTCATTCTGTTGGATATAAGGTGGGGGAAGAGAAAAGGAAAGGGGCACCAATATGCAACTCATTGCCTTGAGAGCAGTGTCCTACGTCTGCTCTCTTATGCAGCAAGCGACCTGGCCATTTAGGTTGCCACCACGAATGGCCAGGAACAAGTTCCTGAACTCCTTCCCGGAAAAGTTGAGAGCTTTGAAGCCGTCTAAAAACCTGATCTTCAATCCCTAAACCTTGAACTGGGATATGATGACCAACACCAGAAGGTAGTTTGGGTCTAGAGGTTTCGGTTTTTATTCTACAATGTTCTGGTGACTGTGGACTCTGGGTTTCCCACTTTAGTGTACCGGTACAAACGTTTGTACCGTTTGAGTTCGGATGTGCTTTCGGTCCTTACACCACCCGATTATATAAATAACCTAACAAATGATCCCTGTTCTTGCAGTGACTCCTCGTGCCTGGCGACGATCCTGCTGCTGCAGGAGAAGGCGGAGCTGGACGCGGAGAGGGATCCCCCGGTCGAGGACACGCACATCGTCGCCGAGATCGTGGATCGCGCCACCAAGAAACTGGTTAAGGTGCGGTGAAGACCCTTGCGTCTTTATACTTTCTTAATGCTGGTTGGCTTAACCCGACCTGGTAGAGAATCCCTTGTCGAGGAGCCACACGTCGTCGCATATATTCTTGGATCATGCCACCAGAAAACTGGTCAAGGTGAGGAGTCAAGATTTCCGTCACCGTTTGACGAAACGCTTTTCTCGAATCCGGGGTCCCCAATTCCTGACTCACGTTTTTCTTGATACGTGTCAGCTCGTTTATCGACCGATGCCATGTCTTTGTTGTCATTGTCAAAACGAGCCTACTTTATTCCTCCGTTATGCTGAACACCCCCCCGCTTGCCACGTGTCAGGTCGTCAACCGTGACGTGGACTCCGTGGTGGGCACGGAGATGATGGCACGTGTCCTCGCGATGGCCAGCGAGGACCAGGCCGTGATCGCGCTCTGGCGGGACCTGCTGAGCGCCGACGGGAAGGACGTCTACCTCAAACCCGCACGAAGGTTAGCATAACCCATGATTCTATCTTTTTTAATCAACTTTTCGCTTCTTTACACTTCTTTACATAGTTTGCCCAAGGTCAGCTTTACACAAACTTTGGTTGTTCAAGAAATAATCTAACATAACACGAGGTGGAACATTTTTGCTCTCTGACGCGACCTGCTGACCGCTGACGGTAAGAACGTCCACCTTAAACCCGCAAGAAGGTTAGCTCAACCTTTTTAAGCGGAATAATGTTTTCCAACTTTTCCAAGCGAACCTAGGGCCAGAGTCAGTATGACTCAAGCTTTGGTTTTCTTCCGATTGGGAGGGGTAAAGTTCGTTTGCGCTTTGGCGCGACCTGATTAGGAGAAAGTCTACCCCAGATCAGCACGAAGGTTAGCTCAACCTTAAAACGCTACTCTCCACGCCTTCCCTTGTGTCTTTCCGTCAAGCTTTTCCGATCCTCTGGTGAGACTAAACCCTCTGGAACCCTTGTCTTGCCTGACGATTTCCTTCTACCTAATTTTGGTAGAAGCAACATGACAGCTTTTGAATACTCGACGTCTAGAGATAGGGAGTCGTCAACGGCTGATGCAGGTTAGATCAGGTGGCCATCTTCTTTGGAGACCTTTCTGGTCACAATTCGTAAACGATTTAAGCTCTGTAAATGGTTCCGCAAGCAACTTGCTGCTAGTTAAGCTGCTGAAACTCTTCGACTAACCCCCAACTAGTTGCACGGAAAGCCGAGACTCTTCGACTAACCATCAACTAATGAGGGTGGTGTTGTCTCTTTCCAGCAGCCGTTTCCCTGCTCAACGAGTCTCCTGTGACCAAGTATGTTGACGAGAAACTAAGCTGCAACCCCCTTTTGGTATCTGCGGCTAACCCTCGTTGTTACCTGTTAACCAGGTACGTTGGGGAGGGCGAGGCCATCTCATTCTGGGAGCTCGCGGAGCGCGCGCGCTTACTGGGGGAGGTCGCACTCGGATGGCGGACCGCAGCTGACGACATCGAGATCAATCCGCCCAACAAGGTATGCTCCTTTCCGTTTGCGTCTCTGCTTTTCCGGTGCGTTTCCAAAGACTCCCTCCTGTGCCTAGCTTCTGAAATCGCCCAACTGATAAGGTGCGCTCCTTCTGCGGCCCTGCGACTTTAAAGGGCCTGATAAGGTGAGCTGATTTTCGATCTCATCCCGGTTCAACTGTTCGGCCGGACATTCTTCTCAAGATCCTCAGTGAACCTTTCGTAATCAGCCCGCCCACCAAGGTGGGCTCCTTTTCGTTTGCGTCTTTCCGTGTAATCTGCTGAATTTGGATAGTGCACCAAGACTCCCTCGAGCGAAACCTTCCGACATGAACCCGCCGAATAAGGAGGGCTCCTTCTGCTCCACGTCGCTCCATTCCGTTCCCTCCTGGAAGATCCTTTTGTGCCTTCCTTTCGAGTCGTCCGCCCAAGGAGAGCGATCGAAAACAGTCGACCAACTAGGGGGGCTCGCCTTTTCTCCGAAGTGGTTTTTGTGAATCATTCTTCTCACGGAGCCGCTTTGAGGTCTGTTTCCCTTCAGCTCATATCGATGGTTACGGGCAGTTCAAACCTGCGTTTGCGGCCAGAGAGCCCTAGCTCTTGCAACTTTCATATTTACTCAATGGAAAGGCTTCGAGTCGCACTATAACAGTGGGCAGCTTTAGCTTGATTCTTTGTGCTTCTCCTTAATGGCTTTGCAATTTCCTCTGTTTTTCTCGCCTCTCTTCACTTGCGCACTTCAGGCCATGTGTAAAATCAGCTCTTCAGCTTTCATTTCGAATCGAGGTCGATACGACTCTCGCTTCAGACAAATCTCGCTTGCCGAGTCACCTGATTGACCTGATTTCCCTTTTCCCGCAGGCTCTTTGTCGCCAGTATGATAAGGAAGACGCGATCGTGGTCATTTCAGACTGCCTTTGAGACAACCATCTGCAAGATTGAACATCCAGGGCCAACTGCAGGGCCAAGTGCTGAACAGTCAACGAATATTGAGGATCAAATATCTGGGATACGCGCCTTTATAGCTCTTTGCGAGCAACCTGCCAATTTTAGATAGAGAGTGAAGCTTAAAAGTGAGTCCAACTTAGTTGACGCTATACGAACTTCATCAAACTTTCAAATTTCCCTCTCCCTCTAAAGCCCGGCGGGATGCTTGAAAAGCGATGTAGTCGTTTTATAGTATAGTAGACCCGCAAGTAAGCACGCACTCGGACCTTCTAGAAACCAGCAAAGTTGCTCAAAGGTGCTGAATTATAGTTCTTTTGACCAACTTGAGGACCATAGTTCGAAACTACCTAGGTTGCTCAGTGACCACTATATAGTTCGATCACACAATCGCGAGAGAAATTGCCAGCTGTACTAGAGCTAGCTTTGTTTTGCGCTCATTTGAATCAAGGCTGCCATGCAAACGACGGTATAGAACATTGCCGCTTATGCACAGTACAAAGATCGTCCCGGCATCCTTCTCCGAGTTGAGATGCAAATTATAATGCTACGCGTACCGTGTATAACCTGACTTTCTAGCGGAAAGACTGCCAGCATTTATGGAATATTGGTACTCGCTAGTACGTACAGGCTAAGTGGACGACCGTAGCGGAGTAGAGGCGGGGGGCAGCCGATCATTATGGTACGTACAGTATACTGAGCAACAACAATCAAACATGGCGGCTGGCATGCAGTGCCATGCAGTATACACTCATGATCGATCATGAAGGGTCCCGGGGCCGCATTGCCTGATCATCAAGCTTAGTAACTGCATAGCCTAGTCAAACTCGTTCCAAACCGAAGATGGTTTTAATTTACGGATCCTCGACGACCGATCGCATGATCATTTTGCCACGCAACCAGGTCATAGATTGTATATATGCAGTACTCAGAAATGTGGATTTCACAAAAAACTTTTGCCTGTCGCACTTCGAGTGCAATGGAATGTAAGTTGGCGGCTGGTGACCTGAACGTACGAAAAAGACGTATTTAAGTCAAGGAAGTCGTTTTCGACATGCAAGTGAGTCGAACATGTGATTTCTAATCTTAAAACAACCAGGCTAAGACCCCGACTTACTTTCAAGGGATGCCCACTAGTTAAGGAGTTCACAGATATGCAAGTACTGCCATCGGTGGACGCTTCAACAACCAAACTTTTGCTAATCAGGGCCTCTAAGGACGAGATTGAAGCTCGTCTACAGAGACGGAATAGCCTTATGGCCTTGCAAATGAGGCACTAAGTTCATTATGCCTGGTAATGTAACCAAGCCCGGGTGAACAGCTCGCGAGAGGAATCCGACGTACGTCGACAATCAATGGATCCACACCCGTACTAAACAAAAGACGTGGTTTCTACGTTCAGGCTCACATATGATTCAATGACCAAAAGACCGATCGTTTTGCTCGTACATCGATCTTACTCGAGTCCATCGCCCGGCGCCTCTTGAGCGTCCCTATCGAACACCACACGGGGACAGATTGCTTGCACAGATTGTTTGTCTACAATGACTACGAGACAGGACTTAGCTCTTTCCAATACGAGGTTCAGTGAGGTTGCCTCCTCATGCACACGGCTGACTAGCTGTCTGAAATGTCGTCATACGAGCTAACACGCCTTCTATAAAGATAGACTAGTTGCTCACTCACGGAGTCTCACTAAACTTCTGAGGAAGTCCTTCGAGCGATTCCCAAACCAATACTGACCAGACAATGCAGTTTCAAGTTTTTGGAAGTCGAGGTCCAGTGACGTCGCCTTCTCGTACGGCTGACTGCCGTCGATCTTTGCATGATGAATAAACACGTCTGATCGCTCTGCCCTCAACAAAGTACTCACATACGCAGGTTTTTGACGAAACCTCGCCGCTTTCAAAGTACTCTCCCTCAACAAAACCCTAGCCGTCGAAACTTCATCAAACCTAAGAACGCGAGACTTCTACAGAGCCGCAAGATCTAACTCTGCCCCTTATATCCCAAGCCTTTCCCTTCGGGCCCGCGTCGGCAAACCCTCCAAACGCCCCCACCTAACCCGGAAAAACCTAGTACCCATCCGTAAGTTACAGCCCCTTAACCCCGCCGCAAGCTGGCAAGCACAGCCAAGCAGCCCCGCCTCGGAGAGCCCCTCTGGGCGGTCGAAACGCCTCAGCTTAAACTCCCCTAACCCGCAAAACCGTACGACGGGTAACTGCCTCTTAGCCCGCCGGGACATAGCAATCAATCCGCCTCGGAAGAGCCCCTCTGGGCGGTTGAAACGCCTCCCCTCAAAACCCTAAGCCCTGAAACCTGACGAAGGATTACTGCCCAACCTTAAACCGTACGACGGGTTACTGCCCCTTAACCCTTCGCGCCTGGGCATACGGCCCCGCCTCGAGGAGCCCCTCCGGGCGGTTCAAACGAACCGACCTCAAACCCTAAACTCTCGTAGCGTGAAATAGGATCATTCCCCTTTAACCCTCCTCGCCTTGGCACCCGGCCCTGCCTCGGAGAGTCCCTCCGGGCGGTCAAGAATCGACGCGTTAACGTAACGGTGCACGGCCATCGCGTAGTCGAAGACGGGAAGGTCGGTCGCGTCGGAGCCGAACGGATCGGAGAGCGCGCACGACAGCTCGCGCAGGCCCAGCAGCGAAACGGTCGTCAGCAGCATGCCAATAATGGAGTAGTAGTAGCTGCAAAAAGGAGGGCACTTTAACCTCAGGTTTGTTTTTTTGGTTAACTTTTTCCCTATCTGTAGCCAGTCTGGGTTTGATTCCGTGAGGGAGACGGTGGTTAGCAACATGCCGATGATGGAGTAGTAGTAGCTGCGAAAAAGATGACACTCCAATCTCAGGTTTGTGTTTTGCTTTTCTTTCGTGCCTTTTTAATCGTTGAGTTTGCCGGTCTACAAGGCGCCGACGGTTCGTCCATGATTCTATATTGATGGAGTATTAGTAGTGCAAGAGGTTTGAACCTAAAGTTCGGGTTGAACCTTCTCGTTTCCTTCTTTGGGTCTGGTCCACAGATTTCATTTTGAAACCCGACCTACGGGGTGACATTCATCAGTGGTTATGTTTACTGGCGAGCGGATAAAGGTTTTGTATACGCGCGCCCTTTCAAGATTCAACCCCGTTGCTTTCCGCCCTCTCAATTTCTGCTGCTGTTCCATCAAAGAGTCAGCAACACTTCTAGACAAGACGACGACGAAAAGATGTACAGGAGTTAATCAGCTGTCCGAAGCGGCAGGCGGGATAGTTGCCTGCTTTTGCCAATAACAAAGTTGGGTTTCGGGAATCAAGGACTCCACCGCTGTCTTAATTCCTGTACATGCAGTAAGGGTAGGCCAGCAGATGAAGATAACCGACGCGAACCGCATTCAGGAGATGGGAAATAACACCTTGATACTTGAAAAAATAAGATGGCTGGCTACTAATCGCCAATAACAAATTTCTGAAGTCCAGTTACTGTTATCATACCTGTACATGCAGTAAGTGTATGCCAGCAGAAGCAGGTACCCGACGAGGACTGCGTTGAGCAAGTGGAAGAAGGCAAACGGCACGGGCATCGCCATGTAATCGTAGATGATCCCAATATTGGCCACCAGCTGCGAGAAAATAAATAAAGAGGGCGTCGGAATCCAAAATCCTGCCCGGCTGAAGCTTGTTGATCATCCATTTGGTTCCGGGTAATTGGCCGGTGAGCGAATGATTGGAAGAGATCTCTCGTCTTGTGGCGCACTCTTGTTATGCTACTTTCGTGCACCTGAATGAGGAACTTTCATCCAACGATTCACACTCTTTTCGGCAATATGCTTCAAAGCGATCGAGCCCTGCCAGCAATCCACTGGTCGAGGAAGCAGAGGAAGGTGTGGCCGCTAACCAGGTTCAATAACCAGATTTCGGTCTGGTTCTTTGACCAAAAAGCGCGTTTTAGCCATGTTAAAACCAGGTTAGTGCTCGAGTCCAGTCATTGGACAGTTAACCAGCTTCGAACCAGCCCGTAAACGACTATGATTATTCACCGAAAAACCCTGTCAAGGACGAACGCCCCGACGCCCTCTTTGGAAAAAAGTGAGGGTTAGGATGGACGCTGATGTTCTACAGTACGATTGCTCACCTAAAACCGGCTTGTTCTGTCACACGGTTTGATTAGTGAGACGGCGAATTATGAATGAACTGCGAATCAAGTCACTGACGACCTCGGATCAACGAAAGTGACTGCTACTATCTTGTCAACATCGTTGCATCGTTGGAGACTGGGGGATTGCTCGGAGCAGCACAGAAGAAGCCGAAAGAGAGATCTGCGCCACATGCTGTCGCTTTCCGTATGGGCTTTTGTTTTGGTAAAAGTAAGGTTCTGACGGGCTTTAAATCCAGGACACAGGAACGTCAGAAGTCTCAGAAAGAACATGTTGGCAACAGCAAGTGAGGCTCGGCAGGGATCGTGCTGGGACCACAAAAAAGTTTACTGATGCTATGTCATGGGCGTGTCCCTTTTAAATAACCAGTCAGCCAACAGGAAGAGGGAAAGCACACGGAGTGTGGAGATGCTTACGTCATTGGTGTACTCCACGAAGCGGTCGAGCTCGACGTTGCTGATGTCATCGTTGACGAAGTGCGCGTGCAGGCGGTGGCACATCCACACCGAGAGCTCCTTGAACGCCTTGCCGTCTACAAAGCCGGGTTAAGACATGAGGTTAAATTCGGAAAACGGGCTAAGAAACGGGTTGAGGGGCAAGTCATCATTGACGAACTGCGCGGCACATCCACACTGCGAGCTCCTTGAACGCCTTGCCGTCTGCAAAGCTGGGTTAAGAAATAAGTATAGAACGGGTTATAAAACGGGCTAAGGAACCAATCGAGGAACGGGTTATCGTTTACAGAATGTGCGTGCAGCTCTTGAGACATTCACACTGCGAGCTCCTTGAATGCCTTGCCGTCTGCAAAAAGGGTCAAGGCACGGGTTAAGAAACGGGTCATGGCGAGGTCACCAAACGGACGGCGAGAAACTGGGTTACAACTAGTTGGGTTCCTCAAATCCATCAAAGATTTGTCGAGGGCTAGCTTCACCTGTTGGGTAATTTGGGGGCGGAAATGGTGCTACCCAGAAGTCAAGTACTCAAGCTGGGCGCGCTTCTACGTGTGGCAGTCATGAAAGGTCACGATAACCATTCCACAAGCAACTATTATGGAGCGGAATCTGATTTTACATCCGACGTTTCGATAGCAATCCCAAGTCTGTTAACTGGTAACACGATCGAGAAAATGTCTTGGCAATCCGCGTTCGAAGCAATGAACAACGCTTTGAGAGAGGACGGAAGCGAACGGTGCAAACCAGGAAGGGAACCGGAACAGAACGGAACGCGGATTGCAAAGACGGGACAGCCAAAACGGACCCTGGAACAGAGGAAGTGAAAGGCCCAAAAAATGAAAGCGGAGGGCGGAGTTGAAGGGAAGACGGATGGCGGAAAGAAAAATGGATGGGGAGAACGGGAGGGGGAAGGTCGGACAGTGGAGATTTGGGAGCCAATGCGGGAAACGAAAGGAGGGGCACGAAACGAGAGAGCAGGACAAAACCCTGAGAAGCGAAAGAGCGGACAGAACGGAACGGGGAGAGGAGAAAGCGATGCAGAAGCGGTGAATGCAAGAAACGCAACGGGGAAGAGGGAAGTGGACAAACCGAAAGGTGGACAGCAATAAAGCGGAAAGTCGAAGTGGAAGGCGGAAGGCGTAAAGCGGAAGTGGAAAGAGAAAAACGGAAAGGGGACAGCGGGACGAAACGGAAAAAGCGAGGAGAAAGCGAGGAGAAAGGAGTATTTTTGAAAAGCAAAAGCTTAAAGAACAATGTGCGGAAGGCGATGCTCAAAAGTTCTGGGGCGAACTAGGGGTGGAGACTCACTGGGTACCTTCCTCAGGATTGCGACTTCGGTCGGAGTCAGAAGGCCAGTGTCCTCGACCCGTTTCCATGCCCACTCTCCCGCGCCGTTGGCTTTGTAGAAGGGAAGGTTAGCGTAACCCAGATCTGCATTGCATGGACCGTGCAAGTGGGTTAGCATAAACCGGAGCTCGCAGCATCTCGTTTGCGCAGAGCTGTTAGCACGACTTCCGAACTGTCAATGGTAGGCTATGGAGAAGAAAGTCCGCCCGGCAGGTTATTATAGCCCAACACATCTACTGCCAGTGTTCACTGGACTGGGAATGAAGGAATCGTTCCGCCCCCTTTGTGAGCGGAAGGTACAAACGCCCTAGAGTCGCATGTGATCGAGAAATCAGAATGAACGCAAAAACATGCCACGTCACTCACACTCGATTGACACCGCATAGCGCGCAAGGAGCATCCTGGTTTCCCGAGCGCCGGGGAAGCAGTCGTCAGCAAACGCCATCCGGAAGAGTGGCGTCAGACGGTTGTTAATGCGGCCCTGCAATGAATGAGTTGAGAAGAGGTGAATTGGCGTCTCTTCGTGACCGTCTTCTAAAATCAAAGAGGGTTTTGAGCTTGTGGTTTCTGCTTCGAACACTCTTGCGACCAAAACCCTGAAATCTTGGAACTCTGAGATCCTGAAATCCTCAAACCCGAAAAAGCACAAACCCGAAAGAGCGAAGCACTGTAGATCCCAAGTACCCCAAGTGAAAGGGGCCTCCTAGTGTTAACCCTAAAACTTGTAGCAACTTTAGATACAAAAACAGGCTCAGCGAAATCTGTCGTCAGAAACGTCCTTTACTTTTGTCATCTTGGCTTATCAGTAACCACCTATCCGGCGGATATCAAGCTACTGAGGTGCGTTCCCGCCCTATTCTGCTCCTTTTCAAAAAGGCGAGCCACATTTTGCAAGGGATACGCAACCTTTCTTGTGATGATAATCGGCACATTCTACAATCGAGAGCAACCGAGAGCTCTGTTAACATTTGAGCCCCAGTCCCACACTTATCAAAGCGCAGCCACAAACATATTGTGGGCTCTTGGGGGTTACAACATCTGTTTGTAAGGCGAATATGCAAGCAAGGTACATGGACCCTAGGAACTGAAATAAGGGGGTCCAAACTCAAAACTTACAGCCAAACACCCTTGGAACTTTGGGAACCCTAAAATCTTCAAACCCTAAGAGAAAGTAATTGCTTACATCCACTCTGGCAGTTGCGAGGTACTGCTCGAAGAAGCGGCTGTAGGCTTGGCTCGTGTGGAAAACCATGAAGAAGACAATCATGGTTCCGGGGATAACTGCAAGGGAAAACTTGGGGTTAACCAACTATGATCGCAGTTCTAGTTTAGTCCCGCTTGACTTGGATGGGTGATATTTTGGTACGGGTGACATCTGCTTCCCTAGAAGGTTCAGTGATTGTCAGTGCACTGGGAGGAAACTCGCAACCGAGCTCACTGAATTGATGCCACATTGAGTTAGCTCTCAGAAGTGCGTCAAGGTTTGACCACAGCAGAGTGAGAAGTCACTATGGAAGGGCAAAGGGAAAGGGTCTGGGTTCCCGAGGAAGGAAAAGCCAAAGCTGCAAAGAGTGTAGTTTGTGAATTATGTAGACAGCTGAAATCTTAATTGTCTCAAGAGCAAAGTATGAGCTGACCACTTTTTTGGACCTCAGAAATTCCTCAACAATCGCACATACATTCAAAGCAGAGCAGAACTTTTCCAGTCCCTTGAGAACACCCAAACAAAAGTAAAAGTATGGTTTTGCGTGAGACATATAGCATCAGTAAGTGAATGTTGGGGGAAGCTTTGAAATGGGGTGAGAACCCTCACCAAATTCCAGATTTCCTCTTTCTGTAATGCTCCGGACATGACAAAAGGCGCTACGGGTAATCTTGGAAAGGCAAAACCGCTGAAAGGGGCTGCTAAGTAAACCTATGAATGTAAGATGGAAGCAAGGCAGTTTCTCCCGCAGTTACAAGCCCAGCACCTGGACATTACCTATTGTCTTTTATCGGTCCTGCCCAGAACCTCATAGAACAATGTATATGGTTACGATGGGCAAACGAACCCACACTTTTCGCCATATTTCTGAAATTTACCTCCCTGTCGCCCGTTGTTTGACCTCAATCTGCTAGCTAACTACACATCCAATAACCTAACCCATGAGGCTATCTCCTTGTCAAGAGGCCACTGACTCCTTAAAAAGCATCAGCGTCCAATTCGACTGTAAACCCAGTCTCTCCCACTGGATTTCAAGTCAATTGGACTCTAGGAAAGCCAAAAACAATCATTCAAGCTGATCAATCTGACCCAATCTTAAATGGCTCAACAGAATTGTGAGTACATTCTGTGGTGGTAGCGAATTGTGCATACATTCTGTGGTGGTGGCTCTATGAAGGGCTCTACTCTTTTTCAACAAGAGCCCACAACATATCTGCACTTAGTCAGCTCCACACTTTGCACATTATGAGCTGAACATCCCTGCACAATCTTAGTTAAAAGAGTTTTACAAGAAGGCAGCAGAGATTAATCGGACCAGAAAAGGCCACATACCAACTGGCACTGGCACATACATGGGCGTTAATGGTCACTCACCTTCCTTTAGGCCTCAAGTTAAAAGGAAGCTCAAACCAAACCCGCCTCAAGAATTGAGCAGCTTACTGAGTAGTTACTACAACTACTCTGAAAAGAAAGCTCACCAATCGTTGTGGGCGACAGGAATGGCCACGACTGCTGGGAGCCGTTGCTGCTGCTAACCAGCACCGGGTTATGCGAAACCTGGTAGTACATGAGGCAGAGGAACACGTGCACCAACATGATGAGGTAGAAATCCGGGCGCATCAGAACCATCTCGAGCGCCGTGCCCCCCATTTTGATAAGCGCAATGAACGGCGACTGCGGGTCGTAGATTATCGTCTTGGGGGGCACCTTCCCAGCCTTCCGCAGCTCTGCCAGGGGATCCCCCTCTTCCAAAGCGGGGGGGGGTGCAGGAGCAGGGATGATGGGCCCCAATTCTGCCCCCTCTTTGTGGATTGCCATGTTTTCAAGGCCCTTGAAGACTTTGTCGTAGCCGTCTGCGGCTTGCGAGGGGACGTCTACGGTCACGTCATCCTTGGGAGTGGGGTCAGGCGCCATCATTTACAAGAGCAGCTCAGAAAGATTTTTCCTGCTGCAGAAGAAACCTGGAGCTTACTCGGCTAAGGAAGGCGCTCTTTGACAGCAGCGATGCAATGCGTAGACTGTGCACAATGCGCTCCTGTTGCCGGGACCGCGAGTCGCGACCTGCACGAAGAGGAAGAAGCAGACAAAGGCGGCAAGTCCGGTAACCGGTTGCTGTGACTAGAGTCATCATGGAATTAAAGGGGGTAGTAATGATGGCTCCTACTACTGGTACTAGCGCTCATCTCCCCAACTGTCAAATACCGTAGGCACACACACTAGGTACATGTATGGTAGGTACCTAGGTACCTACTAGAAGTTGGTGCAGAGCAAAGCAGATGCCAGTAGCTATTACCGTACCAATTGTCCGGTTGGGCAACAATTAAATATTCTTTGACTTGCCCAAAAATCTGAAATGAAAATAAATTCCAATCAAAGATTTGCAGGCCATGTTGCCCCATTAGAAAACGAATAAATGGATAAATGAAGCTGCCCAAAATACATAAGATATGAGTTTAATATCGGGCAAAAATCTGCCCAACCGGACAATTGGTACCGTACCTGCAAGACCTAGCTAACATAGTACCATAAGTACCTGGTGACAGTCTGTCAATTGTACTGGCAACTGACTCGTGTGACCGAAGTATTATGGGCGTGTACGGTGTAACTAACATTCAAACTACCCGGGCAAACAAACCCTAAACCAAACTAATATAGGTACATGCTCCGCACCCGAACCCACCCTAACCGCCTTACCTACGGCACCCTATGTCCCGGGGATGGCAGCGCAAATGATGCAGCATTTTGGCTTATAGATATAAGTTGCTGTAATTTTGTTTCATGTTGAAATAATTTTGTATCGAGTTGCTGGAGTTTGTAATCGAGTTGCTGGAGTTTGTAATCGAGTTGTTGGAGTTTGTAATCGAGTTGAAGTACTTCGTAATCGAGTTGTTGAATCGACTCGCGGGTGACGGAGCACCACCTAAATTCGCGGAGTAAGTCGATGACATACTTCTGTGCCGTCCGATCAGAGACAGCAATGATCGGACGGTTGATGAGTGCATGATAAGTTATCGATAACTTCCATTTCCATGTTCATGCAGTAAAAAGTATAATGTTTGTATATCCATAAAATAAAAGGCTTATTAGAGTGGTACACCAGAATATCTCAGCCCGGATCAGTGCTTACGGTTGTACGCAGTGTTTCCCCTAATTATTTTGATTGCTGGCCGCCGGGCCGGCCGGGGCCTGAGTTTGCCGGCCCGTTGGGCCGGGCCGAGGTCGCCATTGCCGGCCCAAGTCCCGGCAAAATATATGGAATTTCCGGGCGCGCACCCCATATATTCGACTTTTACATTACCTTCATAAGTCTCTAGATTATCTACGTGTAAAATTAAATTGACCAATTCCTACCTGTCCTACCGAGGGGTTCATTGGGGGATCTTCTGGCCAGAAGTCCCCGGGGGAGGGTTTTTTTCGACAAAAACCTTAGTATCTCCTGAAATCCTGATCGTTTTGCACACTGAATACGATGACAGGGCCAGCTATGAACTTTCATTGCCGGCCCAAGAGGCCGGCCCGTGACCGGCAATGCCGGCCGGATGGGCCGGAGGCCGGCCCCCATTGCCGGCCCGGTTTGACCATTGCCGGCCATTTACCAGAGAGTGGGCCGGCAGGGGAAACACTACTGTTAGGGTACTGTTGGGTGTACTGCACT